GACGGGCCGGAGCCCGCACCGAGCGGCCGGGCCAGACAGGTAGGTGACCGATCCAAGAGACCCCAGGGACTCGGGTGGGGGCTGGGCTGACGACTCGTCGAACTCCCCAGCTCGCTCACTCTCTCGCTTGCTCCCTGGCTCACTTTGTGTTTGCAAACTGCCGGCCCGAGGCGCGCCGGGCGCCGGGAGGAGCCCGGCCCGGGGCCGGAGCACTTTGTTCCAACCGGGGCCGGCCGCGTCGCACTGACCCCAGCGGGTACGAAACCCTGTCCTCGGCCCGGGCTTCCAGCGGGCTGGAGCTGTCTGGGGAACAGGTGGGGGCTGCGGCGCGGGGTTGGGGGGCAGCGGGAAGCCGGCCATGGGGGCGGCTTAGAGAGGCCACTGAGGCCCGCCCTGCCCCAAGAATCTGGACTCCGCCCCCTTCTGGCCTCGCTGCTGGGAATGGGGTGTTAGGGGGCGCGACCCCCCCCCTCCCGGAGTGAGACAAAGAATACTCCCGGCCCGGACTTTCCTGAACCGGGAAGGGAAGTGGTGAAGTGGGATCCCCCAAGACCAGTCTGCACGGGACTCCCCAGGACTAGCAGGAGGCAGAGGGACTTGAGGAGGTGGGGGTGAGGGGGTACGACTAACAATCTCAAACATCTTGTCGCCTTGATCGCACCTCGGAAGTGCTGAGACTAGTCAACCTTCTTTCCCTTCATCCCTTAATCAGATCTGAGATAGAGCGGAAAAACTTCTTGGGGACTTGAGAGAGACTGGAAATGGCCCCTGTGATTTTTGTGTGTTGGAGCTGGTTGGTGGGGGACTGACCCAGTGGATAACCCCCACTGGGACAGGGCTTCTTCAGGGTTGTGGGGAAATAAAGTGACTGGACGGAGGGCCCAATGCCACCAGAGAGATGAGGCTGCCGAATTGACCAAGCCGGACCCCATTCCTCCAGACCGAGCACTCTGGTGACTCACTAGACAGCCCTTTCGTCTCCCCAACACCTCTCTGACCCGCGGCTACCCTCGGCGGTGCTCAAATCTTGCATTCCGCTTCTACGTAAAACTTCTGCCTCTTGGGCTGCGCCGGAGCAGAACCCGGTGGCGCTTAGAGACCTGGGGCCGCGGCCACCTGTGTGAAGGAACTTGTGATTTCGTGGGACGCGGATTCTGAGGCAAAAGCCGTGACCATCACAGATTGACCTTCTTTCCCAAGTGAGGCGACCGCGTGAACACCCTCATGTAGCGTTTGCCGACTCTGTAGGTTGAGAGGACAAGGGTATGGGGGGCTGTCCCTGCTCTCAGGCCGTGCCCCTCTCCTTTGCATCCCGGGCCTCTTACACCGCGGTGCGGGGTGTTTCCACGTTCCTTTGCTTGGCACCTGGGACTTCAGCTATCTGGAGATAGGCGCGTGTGGTGCACCTTTAGACGGGTCTACCCACCCGATGGACCGTGGCGCTCTGAGCGGGGGAGGGCACCAGGAGGAACAAACCTGCGTCCAAACCCACTGTTTGGTGGTTCCAGAGCAAGTCGAAAAGAGTTTTGGCTAATGCGGGATTTTTGCCTTGAATTTAAAGCGTCTTTACCTGGATTGGCAGTCGACGGCGTTGGGGCTGGATTTCGGGGTCGGGAGCTTCCGCGACAGTTGTTTTGTTTTGCGCGAGTGTCCCATCTCACACGAAGAAAGGAGCAGCGAGTGGTCCGTGCTGTTCCACCGCTTCCTGAAGAAGCTTAGCCCCCACCCCCACCCCCGCGAACCTCAGTGGGTAGGCCCTCTTGGCCTAGGTACCCTGCGGTACCGGCATTTTAAGCCCCTGGTTGAGATCAACCGAGGAGCCAGGGGGAGGCTCCTTAAGGGGAGCGGTCGGCCTCAGACGACCTCTGCCCGCCCCCGCGGAAAACCGCTGTGGGGAAGTCTGCAGGCTTTCCTTCTTTCTCTTTTTTCTCCTTAAACTTGAGAAACTTTACCTTGCCAGGGTGATTCAGGGGCTGTCGTCTGGAGGTTGGAGGGGCCCTTGGATGACTTGCTGGCTCTGAGATACCCTGAGAACAGCGCGTGTAAAGAAAGAATGTCCACCACTCTAGTCAGTTGGGCAAGGTAGCCTGGTATCAGGGCTGTTCTAGGACCCCCTCTTCCACACTTGCTGCATCCCCCGTGATATATGAACCTCAACTTGCGGTGACCCTTAAGTGCCCGGTTGTGTTTTGTTGTTTTTGTTTTATTTTGTAGGAGGGTTGGGGAGGCTTGAGACAGTCTCTTTATGTTGCCTAGGCCAGCCTCATACAATGTCCTTCCGCAGCCTCTCGGATGCTGGGTTTACAGACGTGTTCCACACACACCTCACCAAGCTCCTTCTATATTTTACCCTAACTCCAACCTTGGAAGTTGGAGGAGACTCTCTCTGAGTACAGTCTCTTCTGAGGCTAAGGCTAGGTTGGAACTGAGGAGCAGGAAAGCATTGGGGAGTCAGGCCCAACTTGCTGGTGGACCTGCTTCTGTTCCCCCCTAGATATCCCCACCCCTTTACTCTCTACCTTTGGCCAGAAACTCCCTTTCTGACCGTCTGGTAGGTAGGTCCCTTCTTGCCAAGAATGTGCATATCCTGCTGGGCCCTCCCTCCAAACGCACCTTTCCCTAGCAGGGGAGGACTCCCGGAGGATTGGAAGGGGGTGGCTTTCTTTGATCTGGTAATTTCCTCAGTGTTTGCTGAGCCCCCTCCTTGCCTGGGCAGATTCCAGGCTGGGCACTAGGGTCTGGAGCCTCCTCTCTGGACCTCCGCTTACCGGAACAGATAAGACAGAGGTGATGGGAAGGTAGGTGGCATGCGAGGGTTTGATTCCAGAAGACTGTTTGAGGGAGGGAAGGGGCATCTCCCCACGAAGCCACCCTTCTTTTCCTACATTTTAACCCTTCACCGCCCGTGGTACTTTTGGAAGATTTACCTTCTAGCCACCATGTACTGAAGCTCAGGCCTTTATTCTTGTTGCCCAAACGGCGCTAACTTCCCTCCATCCTAGGGGCTTCTCTATTTCTCTGCCCCTCCCCCTCCCCTTTCCTATCCTCTCAGTTTCCCCAGGCCCAAGGCAGCCATGGGCCTATTTCTGCTGGAATTCATTGCCTTCATTGGCCGAGAATAGCTTCCTCTGAGGTGGTTCCGGAGCCCTAGAACCCGAGGCACACAGCTCGTGCCTCCCTAGGGCCATACGTGTGTCAGAGTAAAAAGGGCTTTGGAATTTGGCACTTGAGATAGGGCTCTAGGGAACTTAATTAAGCTGCTGGAACCTCAATTTTCTTAGGCTGTAAAGTAGGTCAACAATGCCCAGAGTAGAGCAGCAGCTTGGGGGTTGAATGGGAGGTAAAGTTTCACACCCTAGCAAGCGTCTGGCCTTCAGAGTGCCACCCGGGGATGACACGCTTTTCATTTTGTTTTCTCTAACTAGTTCACTGGCACTGCCAGGCCATTTACTGGGCCGAATACTGGAAATGCTGGAGTATAAACCTTCAGTTTATAGGCTGGAAAATGAAGCCAGAGAGAAGTGGCGACTCGTGTGAGGTTTTCGCTGCTGCCCAGGCACAGAGCTGAGACTAAGTTGCTGGGCTCCCGAATAACCAGGGGCTGGAGCCTCTGCCTTGGGCAAGTGAGGCCAGGGGATAGAGAGCTGACACTTTGCCAGCCTGGCCCAGCCGGTCGTCTCCCTAGCTTGTCTGAGCTGTACTTCCCGCATTCTCTGCCTGTGCTTCTAACAGATACAAATGAGACAGAATTCTCCAGAAGACTGAGGAGAAAAAAATTCCTGGAAGACTAGTGTCTCCTTTTTTAAAAGGAAAGATTCCTAGTGTTTGGGAATGGCACCCCCTGTCCTTACATGAAGCTGTCAGGCAGAGCTCCTCAGGTTTGGGACCTGCCGCTGAACGGTCGAGTCAGAGAGGCAAGAACCTTTCCTACAGGGAGCCTGAAGCTGTCTGTCCTTCCCATCACCGCTGGAATTCTCTGGAAATGAACACTTTTCTTTACTGCCGGTGGCACCGATCCTGGGTCTCAGTGGGAATCCTCTGCCTGTGGCCTCTGACTTTGTATATGCTCCGAGCTCTCTCAGAAGACTTGGGGTACACTGATGGGCCGGAAAACAAGAGCACCCCCCACAAAAGGTGCCTTCTGCATGGAACCACAGGGTGAGGGGTCATGCAATCTTCCTCATTGTACCACCTTCCTTGATTCCAGGACAGATGGACGGAGACACACACACACGCACACACACACGCACGCATGCACACACACGCTTTTGCCCACTTACCTGCAAACAAAGTCATACATCTTCTCCCAAGCCCTATCTGAAGCCTGCGCCTCCAGCCCCAGGTGTCTCCTCTTCTCTTGGGGCCCTTCCCCTCCACCACTGCCTCAGGATGACTGGGCTGCATGGGTGGTGCCAGATAGAGGTGAAGGGTACTTGCTTTCGCACTGGAATTGGTTCTGATGGCATCTGACCCCAGCTACTACTGTGTAAATGGGTAGGGGGAGCAAATGGTGGATTTCCTCATAATAGGACAGTATGCAGAATTAAGCATGCCATTTGTTTGAAGTAGGGAGGGGGCAGAGATGACACAATTCTGTCAGTCTGTCTGTCTATCGTGTTGTGAAGCATGGCATGCCTCAGTTTCTGACTGGCAGGAAGAGAGGGAAAAGTGATGGCTGCCAGGCTTGAGGAGGATTTTGGGAATCAAGATGGGCGTTACTACAAACCCCAGTGCCTACTGTGTGCAGCAGACACATTGGCAGGACCTAGAGAAGAGAGGAAATGAAAGGGGGCTCTCTTGCAACTCTGAAAGCCCAAGCTGGAGTAAGTAGGCGAATGTGGATCTTTGAGATGGGTGCTGAGGACAAGAGAGGGTGGGGTTCTGACAGGGTTCAGAGGTCTTGCCTTGCCCCTCCCCCACCCCAGTGTGAGGGGAAGATGAAGGTGTGGGAAGGTAAGGAGGGTTGAGTTCCGGTTTCCTCAGTTCTGCCAAACCAGAGCTGGCTCTTGGGATACGATTCCTGCTGGGCCTGCATTCCT